AATGGCTCCCTGTATTATGGTATCTTTTATCTTGCTCTCTTCTATTCTTTCCGAACTCGAACTTCCTGATCCCTCATGTCCTCCTCACCCCTCCTCTTCTCCCCTTCTCATTCTCCTAGCTCCCTCTCCCCTCCCCTCATGTTCCCAATTTGCTCAGGAGATCTTGTTTCCTTCCCCTTCTCCGGGGGACCATGTATGTCCCTCTTAAGGGTCCTCCTTGTTTCCTAGCTTCTCTGGTGGTGCGGACTGTGGGCTGGTAATCCTTTGCTCAATGTCTAAAATCCATATATGAGTGAGTACATATCCTGTTTGTCTTTTTGTGACTAGGTTACCTCACTCAGAATGGTTTCTTCTAGTTCCATCCATTTGCCTGAAGCTGTGATTCTTTGCCTGTCTAAAACACCTGATGGTCTAATAAAGAGATGAATGGCCAATAGCGAGGCAGGAGCAAGGAAGGATAGGTAGGGCTTGACAAGCAGAGAGAATAAAAAGGAGAGCCAAGGAAGAGGAGGAGCAAGAAGAGAACAAGGGGAAGAGGACATCACACAGCCACCCAACCACCCAGCAGCAGTCCACAGAGTATGAGTAAGATTTACAGTGAGGAAGAAGGAGAGAAAAGGTATACAGGAATAGAGAACAATAAAAGCCCCAACGCCAAAGATAGATGGGATAATTTAAGAAAAGCTGGCAAGAAACAAGGCAAGCTAAGGCTGGGCATTCACAACTAAGAGTAAGCCTCTTACTTACTGTGTGATTTATTTGGGATCTGGATAGTGGATCCCTCAAAAAGGCCAAAGGGTAAAAAGAGTAAAACTTGGAACTGCACCAGGCAATTCAACTCTGCTTCCAACATCTTCGGCGCAGGTGAGCTTGAGCTAGTACCCTCTTGTTAGTTGATCTTCAGCACAATGGATAGAATGTTTTGTCATAATCATGACAACCTATGGCAACATGAGTCACTGTGAGCAGACCACCCCAGGGGCTTGAGTACAAACTTAAGAGTTTCATGCTTTTTCATATATACTTATATTGGAGAGGTGAGATGTGGGTTTTCCAAGGAATTTGCTGCAGGAAACCAAGGTTGAATGAGTAGCAGAATCATGTCCTTCTGTCCATGACCCCCAAAGGCCATGGGCTTGTATGCCCATGGGCCTCTTAAGGTGTTAGTAATGACTTTTTAAAAATCTATTTTAATGAAGCTTAGAAAGGAGAGACAAATGGACAGTTCTCCAAAGGATTCCAAGTGTAGGGGTCCAGACTGGCCATCTTGGTGACTGTCTCTAAAGCCCGGCTCACTTTAGAGAATAGTCTTGATAATAATTAAATGGGTGAATGACTGTAGATAACTGGATGAAGCTGAAAAATAAGAACATTCTGTAATAGATAAAAAATAACCCCTGGGCAACTGTGTTAATAACAAGGACTCCAGAGTTTGGCTACATTTTATTCCTGTTCATCTCTCTTTTGCATTTCTTTCACAGAGACATTTTTTTTTCTTTCCTAAGAGGCTGCAAACTAGTACTCACTAAAGAACAGTTTATACTGTTCTGCTGTGTTCTACAAAGGAACTGCCAAGGCACATGCGCTGGTTATTTCTTGTCATCTTGACACTAACTAGGGTTGTCTGGGAAAAGGGAACCTCAACTGAGAAATGCCTTTATCAGATAGGTCTGTGGGCAAGTCTGTGGGACATTTCTTGATTGATAATTGATGTGGGAGGGTCTAGCCCACTATGGGCGGTGCCCCCCACCCCCTACCCCGGGGCAGGTGGGCCTCAGCTGTATAAGACAGGAAATTGAATGAGCCATAAGCAGCAAGCCAGTTCCTCCATGGTCTCTGCTTCAGGTCCTACCCCCAGGTTCCTGCCCTAACTTCCCTTCGTGGTGGACTGTAAGTTATAGGATGAAATAAACCCTCTTCTCCCCAAGTTGCTTTTGGTCATAATGTCACAGCAATAGAAACCAAACTGTGACAGTCAGTTTTTATCTATCTATCTGCTTGAGAAAATGCAGAAAAAGTATTTTTTTGATTGTGAAAGAGTAGGAACAAAACTGAAATTGAAATACAATGGCCCATTCCTTACAGAGTTCATAGATTATTTCAGTCTCAAAACTCAAGTTTTGCCATTTTTCCTTAGTGGAAATAACTGCCCTGTAGAGACAATTAAAAAAAAATTCCTGATAAACCTCATTGTTTTGTTTTGTTTGTGTGGCATTTCAGTACACGACCTGCTGGCGTTATAGCTAGGAGCTCGGGTTGAAACTCCCGAAATTATGCTGCATCTTTTCCGTTGTGGATCCAGAGAAACTCACAACTTTCTACAGGAGGGGTGAGAAAACTGAAGTTGAATTTATAAAGGAGAGAGAGCAGAGAGAGAGCAAGAGACTGAAATTGAGAAGTATATATATAGACAGAAACTGATATTATTTGAATATCTCCTGTCTTTCTGGCAAACGAACCTCAGGCTTGCAAAGTCAAGTTTCAAGAATACTGATTGGTTTCCTAAGTGCTTGCAAACTCTTTTCAGATGTCTGAGGTGGAAGAACCTTGGCAATGTTGGTTGGCTTCACGCTGAGCAATCCAACAATAAAGACAATCAGGATAACCTGGCAGTCTCCCATTGAACAGACACCACCGAGGCGGGGGAAATGATCCTTACGAGACGATTGGTTTTTGCTAGAAAATGGAATTATTAAATGTGTGTGTGTGTGTGTGTGCGCGCGCGCGTGGGTGTTTTTTTTAACATTACACGGAAAGGCAATTTTCTTTTGGTCTGTGTGCTGCATGTGGGGAAGGCCGCAGTGGGGGGGGGGGGGCG